CAACCACATGCTTAAAACAGTTCAGAACCATCCCAGTGTCCAAAGATGAATTAATCAACACTTGGATACTGGGGCCAATTACAGGAAAGGCCGCTTTTATAATCTCTGAGGGAACAACATCAAGTGAGGAGGTAGTTTTCTTCATCTTATTAAAGTTGTGACATTATGTGTTTAATTATTAAATCTACTGTTTGTTTCCCAGGGATATTTCATAGTGTGTCTCACATGCTAAACTGTCATGTAGGCTGAGAGTTTGAGGAGTTTTTTGGCATTGAACCTAGAGATAGGATGTTATTGTACTGTAATAGTCCAGACTTGTTCTCTGCACATCTCAGACTGAGAAGATCCATGGGATACATGAGATTTTACAAAACCCCTATTTATTTATTTATTGTACTTGTATCTTAATTTATTGATTGGTTGTTTCTTGGGTTTCGGTCGGTGAGATTCTGCAGCTTGGTTTCGTAACATCAAACTATGTGGTCAGTCCATGGAAAGTCCGAGCCTGATGTGAAACTGATGTAGCTAAACTTTACTTTTGTACACAGTTTATTAAATATAACCTATAGGGAAGTTCAAATATTTTTTTGAAGTTCAGTTTTCAAAACGAACCCAAAGCTGTCCATGAAAGGTGAATATTCACACTTCCATGTAAACTGTAGTGCATCTCCGCTGTGTGTATTGCTCTTGTTGCATGTCTGAGTATTGGCTACTGCCAGTGAAAACAGCTGACCTGAACACAGATCAGTGTTAAGGATCTTTCTCCATCAGCACGTTTCATTGCCCTCCTACTGCTGACCTGTGACTAATTGTATTCACAAAGTGTACTGTAATAGTCCAGACTTGTTCTCTGCACATCTCAGACTGAGAAGATCCATGGGATACATGAGATTTTACAAAACCCCTATTTATTTATTTATTTATTGTACTTGTATCTTAATTTATTGGTTGTTTGACTCTTGGGTTTCGGTGAGATTCTGCAGCTTGGTTTCGTAACATCAAACTATGTGGTCAGTCCATGGAAAGTCCGAGCCTGATGTGAAACTGATGTAGCTAAACTTTACTTTTGTACACAGTTTATTAAATATAACCTATAGGGAAGTTCAAATATTTTTTTGAAGTTCAGTTTTCAAAACGAACCCAAAGCTGTCCATGAAAGGTGAATATTCACACTTCCATGTAAACTGTAGTGCATCTCCGCTGTGTGTATTGCTCTTGTTGCATGTCTGAGTATTGGCTACTGCCAGTGAAAACAGCTGACCTGAACACAGATCAGTGTTAAGGATCTTTCTCCATCAGCACGTTTCATTGCCCTCCTACTGCTGACCTGTGACTAATTGTATTCACAAAGAAAACACTCCTGCTGTGCAAACAACAGCCTGGTGGTGGTGACACACCTGTAAACCTTTGGCTGAACATCACATGGCGTTTTCAGCAGGATCCAACTGTGGATTTAGAGTTGGCATGTAGTTTTAAAGGAGCAGAAATGATGTATGTTGTAGTTGTGAAATTTAAAGCTTCAAGTCGATTTATTCGATTCGTTTGATGCTATGGTGTCAAAATTGATAAAACCATGTCCAAAAAGTTGAAATTGATAACATTAACAAAGCAGTTTAGTTTCATTTAGCTAGACTTTGAGCTTCTCAGAAAATTGCACTTAAATTGCGCCACCGGTTTTGTCTGAAACCTCAGAGAAGAATGGCTGCATGACAGCAGACTTATAATTGAAAGCATGTGGTTATTTGTTAAGATCTGCGGATGACTTCTGTCTCTTTAGCTTCGTGAGAAATTTGAAACACAGCTTTGGCTGTAACCTCTGCTTGGACAGTGATAAACCTGTTTGATTAGCCTTGACACTGGTTTATTTAAAGAAAAGCGTTTCATAGCTTTCACCATTTATTGCTTTTGTCCAGAAGGATGGATGTTTATGCAGACATCACTAATAATCCTAATTGTAGTGGCCCACATTTTTGATCCCATGATTTCTGTCAAGCCATTAAGTTCCCCGACTCATAGGCGAGACTGCGGTAAATAAATTATGCTTGCATCTCTTGCTAGCTGTGACCTGTTTTCCCTGGTCAGCTTATAGAAGACTTAATGCTTCTCAAAAAGCCTTTCCCTACAGCAGTAACAGAAATCAAGGTGTTTTTAGCACAAGATCAACTCTTAAGCCTGTGATCTGTTTATTGTGGCTCATTTGACTTCTCAAGAGGTTGATGATGACGTGCAGAAAGAATTAGGATAGTGCTGTTTCATTATTTACTCATCTTCATGTTGTTGCAAATCTGTACAGCGTCTGACTTTATTTCTTTCGTGAAACACAAAAGAAGAAATGCTGAATAATGTAATTGACAATGTATTCCATATAATGAAAGTGAAAGGGGATGTGGGCTGTTTATTTGTACATTATTCAGCATTTCTCTTTTTGTTTTCCACAGGAGAAAACATCTAGCAAACATATTAAAGGTGACCTATTATGCCCCTTTTTACAAGATGTCAAATAAGTCTCTGATGTCCCCAGAGTGTGTATGTGAAGTTTTAGCTCAAAATACCCTACAGATAATTTTTTTATAGCTTATAAAATTAGGGTATGAGCAAAAACGTGCTGTTTTTTTGTGTTTGTCCCTTTAAATGAAAA